CCGGCAACAAGGCCTTTACGCACGTGTGCATTCTCTCTGAGAAGGAGAAGAAGGTGAACGGGTATGTCTCTCGTATCGTCCTCGTAAGATGCTCATGATCGATCGACCTCTTGTGTAGCATGGTCGTGAGCCGCCTTCCGCATGGCCCGACGGCGTTTTTCAAAATCTCCAACGTCGTCCTCAACAACAAGATTCAAAACAAGGCCAAGCGCACGAGCCACCAGCCGGAGCTGATTCTGAACAACTTCAACACGCGCCTCGGTCACCGCATCGGTCGCTTCCTTGGCTCGTTCTTCGAGCACAAGCCCGACTTCAAGGGTCGCCAGGTCGTGACGTTCCACAACCAGCGCGATTTCATCTTTGTGCGCCAGCACCGCTACATTTTCGAGAACGGCAAGGTTCGTCGACATGAGATCTTATTGGACCGATGCACTCACACGTCATGGCATGGTAGAAGGCCCGGCTACAGGAGATTGGGCCACGCTTCACGATGAAGTTGCGCTGGCTCCAGGAAGGCACGTTCGACACCAAGTACGGCGAGTACGAGTGGATTCACAAGCAGCACGCGATGGACACGTCGCGCCGAAAGTTCCACTTGTAAGCACGTCCATCGTAGCTGCCCTTCTCTCGATTCTTTTACCACTCTCACCAATATAATCACATTTATTGCTTGCTACGGCCTATGATACGATCGGAGATCACCTGAACGACGGCAGCTTGTGAGGTCTGCCGATGGATGGTGATGCCGGCCCGCAATTGTAGCGACCCTGCAATTATTGTGCCAATTGCGCGCACGGGGCTCGGCCAAGATCTCATTCGTATCTTAAGTGTCGAGACGAGGGCCGATCCCCATCAACCGGATACGCATAGCGACCATCCTTCTCGGCGCTTCATCGCCCTAAAATGCCACCTCCAGCTCGCGGAGCGCCTGTTGTGCTTGCCGTCTCGGGGCTGCTGCGTGATCGTCACCGAACTCATGGTTATTATAGATACAAAGCGTGTTATTCCTCTAATGCCGCTAAAGGGCAGTGGCGCGCCAGCATCAAACTAGCAATACCTAAACGTGAAATAGAACGGGCGAATTTACGCGGCGTTGGGGTCGCAAGCCTCGATGAGGTACGCGATCAAGTCGCGGCGCTCCTGGGGCTTCTTGAGGCCGGCGAAGACCATCTTGGTGCCCTTGATGTACTTCTTGGGGGCGAGGAGGTACTCGAAGAGCGTCTCGTCCGTCCACGTGACACCCGAGTTCTTGTTGGCAGCCGAGTACGAGTAGTCGGGGGCCTGGCCGGACTGGCGGTTGAGCAAGCCCGAGAGGTTGGGGCCCTGCTTGTGGGCGCCGCCGGGGTTGCACGTGTGGCACTGCGCGCACTTGGTCTTGAAGATCTTGGCACCCGCGGCCGCATCACCCTTACCACCAGCAACGTCCATCTTGTCAATTGAGCAGAAAAAGCAAAATGAGCTAATTTGACGCCGCGCCATTCACCACTCAACACCACCCATGCGTGTTTTTGTGGTTTCACGCTCGTATCCGGAAGCCGGATACGGTGCGTCGGGCCGGCCCAATGAGAAACGCCGCCCGCCAAAAACGCACCAATGATACGCATCCGTCGATTCAGCATCGAAGTTCGAAGCCACCTCTTGAATGCAACGGCAAGGCCGGCCCGATACATTGGACGAGTGTACCCGAGCCCCTACTGACTGCTGACGTCAACATCCTGATGATGGCAACTTCGATCGAAGCTGTGGCATGCCTTGTCGCAGATGGGCGGACGATCTTCGGCAGCAATCTCCACGGTTCATCCAGGGAAGCCATACATTTGAGAGGGCGAGGCAAGAAGCATTGGCTAAGCGCCGGCCGCAGGACTACGACGACGTCTAGGCAATAGCAGTGCTCAACAGTGCGTTCTAAAGCTCCATGGAGGTCACCAAGGACGACGAGACATGTTGGTCGCAGACGCCTCCAAGATTCACTGGGTACGATGCGCCATCGTGGATCCCGAAGCGACAGCGAGAAGACGAGAAGGCGACAAGCGCGAAGCTCACCACGATGGGCTGATTCGTTGAGCGGTGCCGCGCCACCGGGACGACATGGCGGGCTGTGGTTCACGAATCTTCGTGGAGCTTCGCGACGCGTTGCTATGGCGCATCGCCTGCTTAGACGAGCGTCACGGATCGGATCGCCCAACGAAGGAATCGCCCGCTATCACTTGCCGCCACATCGTTCTTCGCCCTCATCCAGCGACGAAAGGCAGACCACCCGACGACAGGCACATAGAAAGCGAGCTCCGCCCTGTGGCTATGGTGATGTTATCACCGCCGCAAAGGCGCGCGTCCTGCGATGAGTATAGGTAGCGCACGTCGGTGCCAAACGAGGTACACGAAGCAATTGAGTGTCAATGGACCGCGGAAGCCTCGGGCCAGAGTGGGCACACAGCAGGATCCTGCTTCCTAGCCACCGCGACCGTGTCGGCCCTGCGCCACGCCTCATCGCCGCGGATGCGATCACACCATCAGCATTGTCCAACGACTGCGCTACCGTGGTTTCAGTAACATGAATCGCACGAGGTTTAAATGCAGCCGCCATGAATGTGCCAAAGATTGAGGCGAGATCGAACCACCGATACACACTGTTAGACGAGTCGACGTCGTTCTACAGGTCGTATGTGGAACCGAAGTCCTGCACTAGTAGGCGGTAGTATGATTGATACCATTGCGAACCGGGTATATACTATACACCCCACGAGCAACGATAGCACCAAGGATGCCCTTGGTAGCACGCACTGCCCGTCTTAAGCGCTTGGTTGCAGCTCTGAATTTGGCACCAGAGCTCAGCGACGAGCTTGCGTCGTCCACGCGCAGCACAGCGCAACCGTGCGTCCTGCGTACGACACGCTCGCGCAATGCACGACCCTACGCGCCCACCTCGTTCTATCCGTCCATGGCACGCGAGAGGCGGTCCGAGCCACCGAGGTGCGAACTGCTGCTTCCAGTTACAGTGTATTGCATCCAGCATCTTGAAACAGTGCACTGGACACGATGTCTTTCCGCAATAGTGGAGCCCGCGAGCGCCGACAGACCGACGTACTAGTACGCGTAAAGGTCCTCTGCTCCACTTGCCGTCGCAGTGTTCCGGGGCCACTGTTTCGAGCGGCGCGTCACGGGCGGGGCGACAAAGGCGCGTCACGGGCGACGTCACGTAGAACGCCACGAGGCGGGGTGACGCGGTCGGTAAAAGCGAAGCCACTCGACTCTGGCTCCCATGGCTCAAGAACTGCAACACCTTGATTCGCATGGCGGCGTCGGAAGCCTGCGCGACGATCGGGTCGCTCGACCACGAGACGACGATAACAGCGAGCGTGGACACGCCGGCCGTGGCCGTGACGACGCGCTGGGAGGGCTACCTCCAGAAGCGGTCCGACTGGCTCAAGCAGTGGGAAGCCTACTACTTTGTGCTGCACGGCTGCGCGCTCTACTGCTATCTCTCGGCGGACGAGGCGAAGCGGCAGCCCGAGAACTCCAAGATCAAGCACGGCGCCTTCTCGTTCACGTCGCACGTCGTTCTGCAGCACGTCGTCTCGATCCACGGCCACGGCGCGTTCGACTTTAT